CGGAGCGGGTGGGGGGCAGCGGAGCGGGTGGGGGGCGGGGTAGTTAGCGGCCAGTTGATATGTTTGGGTGCAGGATGGAAGGCGGGAGAATTAGCATTTAAAGTAGATGCCCACCAGGCATTAACACACCTTGGTGAGCTCAGCCAATATGTTTCCCGCTGCTGCTGAAAACTCCATCAAATAAATAAAGAGAGAGAGAGAGAGAGAGAAGCTGCTAGAGACACACTGTCCAGGTGAGTCAGGACACAGGTGAGCTGCTGTCTGTGGAAGCACCTGACGTTTCTAGGACAACACGTTTAGACATATCAGTCAACTCTACCTGACTTTATGTTGCAGATGTGGTGCAGCTGGAGCACCTCTGAACGAGGCTCCGCCTTCTTTTTCGACTTCACCGTCTGCTTCAGAAAAACACAAGAAAAAACAACAACAACTAACGCTGAGACTGGGCCCAGGTTCTCCACGTGATCTGGATCAGATGAACTCAAGCAGACCTGGAGTGACAAGGAGGTCCAGGTCTTCCCTTCAACCACCATCGGTCCCTCAAAACCACCTGAGAGTCCTGGCACCTGAACAGGTGTAGACCCACCCCCACACGGGACATCATCCCTGTGCCCGACAGGTCCTGGATCCGAAACAGATCCTGACCACGTCATGATTTGGGGGATGAGTCTGAGAGAGTGTGTGTGTGTGTGTGTGTAGGATTATGCTAACTCTTCCCTCACATTGAAGGATTTGTGTCAGACCAAGCTGGCGTGCAGGCGCTTTTTCTCCCACAATCCCTCTTTGTTTGGCGGCGTGTCACCGGTCCAGCGTGGAGGCAGTGGGTGGGGGGGGGGTGACACGGATATGAACTTCCTTCAGTCTGTAAAGCCTCAGATCTCATCTTGTCATTTCCACAGGACTGAATGTGAAAGTGAACGCTTCACTTCTCTTCTTCTTCTGTTTTATTATCTTCGCACCCTCCTCCTCCTCTTTGATCTTCCTCTCAGATAAAGCTCCTGTCTCTGGCCTTTGAGTCTCTGCAGGTTCATCAGGTTCAGGACTTTCAGACCTTGAACGCCTCACAGTGTTAGAGTCTGATGACAGACCAGAGACAACATGATCCACAGTGATGAATGAATGAATGAATGAGACCTGGAGCAGATGGACCAATGAACAGTGATCATTCTTCTAAGAGCTGCAGTGATTGGTTATTGATGAATTTGATTTTTTAAAAACATAATATTTCACACTAATTAAATTACAGATCAGAATCAGACCCGTCACCTGCAGACGACATGACTCAGATTTAAACTTTAAAACAACAAATAGATTTCCCGCCTCCTGGTCGTTTCCTCCTCCGACCAATCAGGTTACAGGAAACATGGTCACAGTCTCTCATAGACCACACCCTCTGAAGGATGAGGGCCCCTGAACTGGAACACGGCAACAGTGTCACATTGAAGTTGACCTTTGACCTCAAGGCACCAAAGTGATTCTAAACATTCCCCCCGCCATCACACCACCAGCAGCAGGTGAACTGGTGACAGGTGAAGATGTGTTGTCTGATCGGGTCTGGTCCATGGATCTAGACTGACCGTCTGCTGCCTCAGCACAAATCCAAATCCCTCAGACCAGGTCCTCCAGGACCCGCCTCAGGTGCCTGTATACCTGCATGTATCAGCAGGTGTTCCTAATAAAGTGCTCACCGACTGTACATGACTCACTGGTGACAGTCAGTCTTTGCTGGGGAACATGTGGATGTTTGCTGCCACCTGCTGGTTCTAATCACACATCTTCACCAGTTCACCTGTCTGACATCGTCATCAAATCTCATATACACCTGTAATAACACATCAGTGATGTGTTATTACAGGTGTATATGAGGAGAGAACATGGCTGCCTGCAGAGTCAGTGATTGTCAGCTGTCTCATGTTTCACTGCTGCCACCTGCTGCTGAGATGGTGAAACGACACCAACGTCTTCCTGTCAGTTAACGAGCAGCAGCGTCTGATGAGCCTGAACACAGACGACGACTCAGGTTTAACTTTAACCACATTTACCACCAAGTAGCACTGAAAGGCAAGAGATCTGTGAAAACAACTGCTGTTTTTAAACTTACATTTAACTTTAACTTACATTTCTTAAGATTTTTCTCAATAAACAATAACTTCACCTGTCTGCTCGGGGTTGCTTATAGACAGGAAAAAAACAAATGCAAAAAAATGAATAAATAAAAACTTCAGTTGGGGAAAAAAAAAACAGAAAAATGATCCTGGTAAAAAATGAAATAAAATAAAAACTTCACTTGTCCGTAAAAAGTCAGACCTGAGCTGCGTCTCCGGCTCTGTGTGAACAGTCGACTGATGGAGAGAAACAGCTGCTGGAGCTGATGCTCATTAAACCACAGAAGAAGAGCTCATTAAAACCATGAGGAGAACATGATGGAGATCTGATGTTCGTGTTTGTCGACTGTTGTAATGTGAGGAAGGTTCAGCCTCCTCGTCATCACTCCACACAGCCGTTTCCCTCTTCATGTTTATCAGTTTATTCATGACGTGGTTTTCTTTTCACCCACAGCTGCTGACACTGAACAGACTCTGCATATTTAGATCTTTTTCTATTTTTTATGCGGATTGAAAATGTAAATAAACAGGTGGAAACAGATGTAGTGTCTGTGCTGTTAACAAACACGAGTATGATCAATAATAAAATGAATAACAATAAATTACCTGAAGACAGACAACCATGACATTGATGTCATCATCAGGAAGTGACGTCATAACGGATCTTCATCTCAGTCTCAATGATTACATGGGAGGCTGGATTAAATCCCTTTTACTAGATGAGTTTATTGTTTTTAATTTGCATGAATTCATTAAGAATATATATGAATAATTTCAGGTGTCCAGGATTTACCTGACACAGGTGACACCTGCTGTGACCGGTCAGATCTGGTCTCTGCTCCTCGCCTGTGGAACCAGCTTCCTGGACACCTGAGATCAGCTGAGACCGTCAGCTCATTTAAATCACATCAGTTTGCTGCAGCTCAACAATTAATCACTAACATCTGTTTAATCTGGTGCATTTCCTTGTTTTAATGTCGTTTATCAATTCTTTTAAATTTGATGTCACTTATTTAATATTTTTATTCTTAGATTTTAATGTCATCTTAATGTTCTATTTCTAATGTAGTTCCAATCGACACACACACACACACACACACACACACACACACACACACACACACACACACACACACGAAGCAGTCTTAGATAAAAAGTGATTTAATGTTTTTCTCTGTGACAGTTTGAGGCTCAGAACCGTCGACACTTGAATCAAAATATACACGTTTCATCAGATATAAAACCAACTTCACTCTGACTCCACCTGTGCTACAAAACATGTATGTACAGCTAACACCCCCCTCCCCTCCCCTCCCCCCACCAACTCTCTACCTCTGACTGACTGGTCCCAGTCTTGCCTTACCTATCTCACCTGTCTCACCTGACGCTGAGGGCTCACGATGCATTCAAGGCACCTGGGGAGAAACGGTTCACAGAGATACATCAGTATTTAAATTTCAGTAACTGTTGAGGATCCAGGTCCCTGATCCGGGTCCCTGATCCGGGTCAGTGTCTCAGCCTCTGTGTGATGAACAGCACGTCACTGCTCCACTGTCTGATTGTACACTACAGTCAGACTGAGACCTCGGTGTCATGTCCAGAATCTGAGGAACCAGGTCTCAGTGCTGATGTAGAAGTTTGTGCGTCCTGTTTGTGGAGGTGAACCACAGGGGTGACCTATGACCTGTGACCTCGTGGTCAGGGTCAGACTACATACTGTGGCAGTGGAGGGGGTGACACAGCTGAGATGTGTCAGGTATTTCCTGTATTTTAATACTCGCTGGGTACTGAAACTACAAGAGGACGTTCAGACCGACAGCTCGGTGGATCTGTCCCCTGGAGGAAAACCGAGCCCTCTTCTCAGGATCCAGACCTGCAGCAGACCAGAGATGTGGTCTGAGTCACAGACGTGCAACTAACATTTATATTATTATAAAACTAAATTGTTTCCTGAATTAAAACCAAACTGAAAAGAGCCGAAGAGAATTCTGACGAATTCTGACGACATTAAAAACTGAGCTGAGAGTAAATACTGACTGTTTACAGACTGTTATCAGGTTGTTTACAGACTGCAGGGACCTTTATACGAGAGCCTGAATTGCAGTGCATTGTGGGAACTCAGAGGTTCAGCCTCCTGCTGTCTGGATCTGTCCGATGGTCTGGACACGGAGCAGGATGGGACTGACACACAGCAGTCATTTTTCCTTTTTTTCTAGTTTCAAACCATCATCGACCAAACCTCCCAGGTGTCTTGAATGCACCACAACTTTACTGCCCTGAGCGGCTCGTTCAGAGTAAACCTGCGGTTCAGACAGTGAAGCAGCTTCATGGTGAAGTTCAGGTGAGCGGCTGGAATGTCGACGTAATAATATTAAGACAAAGAAGAACCAAACATCTGGTTTCAGTTTGTCTCTGACGGCGGCCGAGCGTCTGACGTCGTACGACTCGGTGCTGCGGCGAAGGCACAGAACAACTGCTGAATCAGCAGAGCCTCAAGTCGCATTGGCCGGCGGAATCCAGTGAAGCGGTCGAGAAACTAATAAAAACATTCCCACAGGAAACACCAAGAGCGCCTAAACCAGTTCAACATCTTTTGTATTTTTTTAGTCCTTAAAACCAGAAACCTGAGGCAGGCGGGTTTGTTTGCATCTAAAAGGCCGTTTTTGGTTTCAGCTGTAGTGGATCAAACTTATAAATAAACCGTTCAGAGGCGACAGACAAGACGAGCGAACGACAAACCCAACAGAACACGACAGGAACAAACCGCCGAGACACACCCGACAAATAAAAGCTCAGGAATGATTAAAATATTGCTACAATATTTGATTTGAATAAAACGTGATTGCATACATGGAAATAAAGAAATCAAAGAAGAATAGAAAAAAAAGAGAATCTCATCTAGAACTAAAGACCCAGCAAACGGCTAAAACAGAATCAGTTCACATGTCTGACGCTACAGTAACCAGCAGTACAAAACACTAACATGAAGGAAACACCAATAAAATACACTTACAATGTTGATACATCTGTAATACATCTCAACAGTAAACCTTTGTCAACTGTAAACCTGCTCTTTGCCAGTTTACAGAGGCATGATGGGAGATTTGTTTTTCCGAGTCGAGATCGCTCTGACTCCAGGAATAAGGCACAGGGATGATCTGAAGGCCAAACCGGACTGTGGATAACGAGGCCTGGTCTAAGGTCTGACAGCCTGAGGTGGACTCAGGAAAGGTGTCAGAACTGGTCAAGACTAGAGTTACTTCTAAGGGGGAAACCAGAGAAGAGGACTAGGGCCACAGGGAACTGAGATTAAAGAGAGAACTGTGAGTTCATGAATTCAGAATTCAAAGGTTTTAAATCCAATTCTGGAGAATAAATTAAAATGACCTTAATTCTTTAGTTGTGACATTAAAGTCAAAAGGCAAGAGTGGCTCAAAGTAACAGCTCCACAACAAGAAGGTAAGAAACCTCCTTCAAATCCTGACCATAAACTCAGAATCCTGACTTTATTCTGTGAATCTGAGATTAAACACAGAATCCTGACTTCCTCCAGACTTCAGAGAAGTCCAGTATTTTCTCCAGAGACCCTAATCCTCTTTGAAGGCAAAGAGTTTAAACAATAATTTAACATCACACCAGAGTTCACGGTGGTTTCTGCAGACGTGTTGGAATGATCGGAGTGTAGTGGACACCATCGAGCCCTCGGAGGAGCAGAGGAGTCCGATGGTGGAGTCTGAGGCTCAGATGGAGGACTTGGAGAAGGAGACCCGCAGGTGGTGGTTCTCTCCCAGGTCGTGGTTGTGGAACTCGATGAGGGACTCGATGGCCTCCTCCACCGAGCCCATCTGGATCAGAGCCATCTTGTGGTCCTTCCTGAAGGACAGAGCAGCAGGAGGTGCTTAAGACTGAGAACATGGTATTTCTCTAAAACCACAGTACAACCTCCGGACGCCGAGACTCTAATCAGAGGTGGAAGGTTTTTAACTTCTTACAAAAATGTGACAAACGACAAACAAACATCAAGATGAAGGGATGAAATAAATGGGAGACAGATTTAAATGAGCAAATCACAGACGACACTTGGCACAAAATAATACAGGGAATTCAATCGTCTTCCATTTGTCTTAGGCATACTGTCATTCAGTTTAAAATTTTACATCGACTGCACTGGTCTAAAGTTAGACTCTGTAAGATCAATGCTGATATAGACCCCACTTGTGATAGATGCGGGCGAGATCCAGCCACTCTCTTACACATGTTCTGGACATGTCCAAAGCTTGGCACTTCCTGGCAGCCCATCTTTGAGACCTTTTCTAAGATCTTTGCGAAAAGGCTTGTACCGTCTCCATTCGTTGCGCTTTCCGGTGTAACCCAGATAGACTCCCATCTCGAGAAGTGGGAAAGAATAATGGTGGCTTTCTGCTCTCTGCTGGCCGGGAGACTGATATTATTGAAATGGAAAGCACCTCCAACATACAGTCATTGGGTTAGGGAAATCATGTACCATATCAAGTTGGAGAAGATCAGATACACAATCAGGGGGTCTACTAGAAAATTTCTTAATGTTTGTTGAAGATATGGAGGCAGAGAATATAATACTGTAAACCTCTGCTGTTGTCCTCTGTCATCATTATCATTATTATATTTCTTATTCTCTTTTTTCTAACTCTGTATTTTATACTGTGAACTCTGTCTGGTATTTGTGGGGGGGTGCTTTTCTTTCCTTTCCCTGTATGTTCTGTTGGACCTATGTTAAATTGTAAACTATAATTTGTAAAACTGAATAAAAATACCTTGATCAAAAAAAAAGATGAAGGGATAAGGTAAAGGGGAAGAGAAGGTTTAGGTCAAACTCAGGCTTCAGGTCAGGGCAGAGACGAGGACTTCAGGGGAAGGCCTAAAGCTTCAGGATGAAACAACCACAGGACTTTCAGAACAAGAAAAGGAATTTAGGGTGAAGGCTTGAGAACAGGGACAGGGACTTTGGGAGACAGCAGGGCAGTAGCAGAGAGAGTGGCAGGGCTTTGATCAGTGATGGATGACTTACTGGAAGAACTTGAAGGCCTTGACCATGGCTCCTGAGCTGGAAAACAGCATCTTGAGGTCATCTTCTACCACAGAAGGGCTAAGAACAAAAACAGACCAGAATTGAGAAATGTTGCAGGTGGACTTAGTTTGGTGTCAGGTGTAGTGTTCCTCAGGTGTCCATATTTGTACACCAGGTGTTGAAGGACTTACGGGATGTTGGAGAGGTGTAGGGTGGCAGAGGGTGGGAAGATGTTGGAGTAGTTTTTGGAGCCGGGCTTCTTGAAGCGGTGCAGGGGGGAGTTGCTATAATCTTTGGTCAGGCCCTGGTCCTCGTGGCCCTCACGGGGAAGCTGGACGTTGGTATGTTTGGACAACGTGATGCGCAGAGGCTTCCCATGCAGCCGCTGGCCGTTCAGGTGACTCATAGCTGCAAACCAGACGAGTGGAGAACGCTGCTCAAGTTTCTGACCAGACAAGGACCGAACTGATAAGAACCTATTGTTTAATGCGTCAACATCCTTCAGAGAAGAAGTCATAGTGCTGTCAAATAAGTAAGAATAAAAATAAAAGGTAGACCTGCTTGTCCTCTGTACACAACTTTGTGTAGTTCGGTGTTTAGGTTTGGGAATCTTAATGTCATGATTTGAATATATTTTTGGTCCTGTTACGTCTGGAAGCTGCACAGTTCCATCTTCCTGGTTGTGTCAACATAACGAACACAAACCACAATATTATTATATTATCATTGTGGCTCAGGAGGTGGAGCTGGTCATTCACCAATCAGAAGGTCGGTGGTTTGATTCCCGGCTACTGTATCATCAGTAGTAGTGTGGTTTCCATTGTGAAGCACAGATGCGTGCTTTTTAAGTGAAGTCCGTTTATCATTCTATAACTGTAATCCCTTTATCAAAATAAAAACTAAATATTAAATATTTGTCATCATAAATATCAAGATAACAAAGCTGGGATGTGAAAAGGCTGAGCTGAAAAATAACTAGGATCTCTTTTTATGAGCATCTGTAAACTGGAACCTGAATTTACCTGAAGATCTTCAGTTTAAAAAGTACTTTTCAAAGTATTTTTGTCTTTGACAGCAGAAAGTAGAGAAGTGACAGGAACTGAGCGACTGAGAATGACACGAAACAAAGGTGGCGACAATATGGAAGTACCAATGGAAGCGTACCAGCTCACAGAAATGGAGTTTGGTTGGAAGAACCTGATCAGGTATTTTATTACACAAAAATCCCATTATGATAATAGTCTTTGTTTGCTGGAGAATCTGTGGAAGTGAAAATGCATCAGAGACACCTGGAGAAGACATTTTAAATGTGTGATCCCTGTGGACATTAAGACGATATACTGTGGATATGTCTCAACACTGATCAAAAAGTAATAAATATTTAATGAGTATCCTGCTGGTGGCTGGTAAAAAGAACCTCAGCGGGAAATGATTATCACAGGAAACCAATGTAAATACATGGATGGAAATTATGATGGACATTTACAAAATGGAGAAAATAACAGCTTTCATTAACATAAATTGGAACCATTTATAATATACTGGAAAAAATGTATTAATTATGTGACGCCACAAAGGCTTGATTTTATTTTCACAAATCCATAATTCTGTTAAGGAGACAAGATGACAATCTACTCATTCATTGTCTTTTTCTACATGTGTAGAAGTATTTAGAGATCTGTGACAAATACAAATATGTCAAATACATTCAGTTTAAAATCTGAAATGATTTGTATGGAAATATGATGCTGAATGTCAGTAAAAAAAAGAGCCCAGAACAGAGAACAGTCTCAACCACCAGACGATCCAGAGAACATGTTACCTAGCTGAGCCTGTGTGCTGTCAGACATCTGAACCAGGGCGTTTTCCTTCTTGTTGAACAGAATCTTCACTCTCATCACGTCGCCATAAACACCTAAACACACAGTCAGAAGTACAACAACAGGTGAAACACTTGTTACACAGAACGTCACACAAACAGAACACCAAGATAAACTCTACAGGACACTGTGTATGACACTGGACTGACTACAGCCACGCCATTGACCCTTGGTCTAAAGCTCATATTAATCTAATGTGGAAGAGGTTCTACTGAGAACTTTGTTTTAATGTGTTAATACAGAAATCTGTGGAGGTGTAAACCTGGAGGTGGAGGAGGAGCAGCAGTGAGACGCTGCTGTCAGGAAACACTAACAAATTAATGAATTTAATTTAGAAGGCAGAATTCCTGGATGGTTATACACAGGAGATGCAGTGAGGAAACTGAGGGTCAGAGGAAATTAAAAATGGCAGATTACACCGTGGTGGAGCTCTGATGTGTGGACTAAAAACCAGGAGCAGCTGATTCAGCACTGAGGACATGCAAACTGAAGGAAACTCGGCATGCAAACTCAAACTGAGACAAGGTCACTGACGTATGATCACAGTAGATGCAGCGCCTCAGAGGTCACTTAAGGTCAAACTGAATGTGTTCAGAGAGCAGCGTTTTTCAGTCAATTGTCCAATTAAAAATAAAATGTAACAATGTTTGTTTCTTTGTTCCATGTGATGATGAAATAAAACAGCTCTAGATCATCTAACATTACTTTGAACTACATACAGTCCAGTGTGATGGTTTGATTTCTACAATTAAAAATCTTTTTTTTCATAAACATGATGATTTTTTTTTTTTAATTCTTCTTCTGTGTTTTATTTGAAGTCTAGATCCACAAGAAGATATATTTGTAGTTTTACATCTCCTCTCTCAGGCTACTCTCTGTTTTCTGAGTGATCCAATAAAAATAAAGCAGATTTCAGGTAAAAACACTCAGAGAAACCAAATCCTGTAAAGGTTTGGATGGTGGGTCCAGGTGGGCGGGGCTTGGCGACTGCTTTGTTGTGACATCACAAAGTTCCAGAAGTCCTGACGGCTGGTTTTAAGGCTCAGTGTCTGAATACAGGCTGTGTGCATTTCTCTGTGGACTGAGGCTTTGATACTTTCACAGTATTAATATAGAAGCTAGAGCTGATCTATAATCACACTACACATGGACACAGACCTTTACACTGGAGGAGCTTTACATTTGCTTGTGAATATACAACACAACATCATTCGTCATGGTAACCGCTTTAAGATGGTCCCTGTGTCTTTAACCAGCTCCTGAGAATCAAACTGCGACAATCACTGAGGAGAAGCTGCAAATATTGTGATCAATAAACTCAAATCAAATCAACACGCATCATCTGACACAACCAGCAGACACTCGTTTTTTAAAAATAAAAACCAAAGAAAAAAGAGGAAAAACAACCAACATGACGTTAAATCAACAGCTGATACTGAGAATTCAAAATAAGAAGCTAGTGACAACATACCGAAGAGAATAAAGAGGCAGTGGGGTGTAACTCTCTTTAAAGACAGCAGAGAAGGCAGCGGAGGGACAGGACAGGTAAAGGTGGGAGGGCAGGACAGGTGGAGGGTCCGAGGCGTTTCCATGGCAACAAATTAAAGGAAAAAAAAAAGACAGGTGAGGGGTCAATCAGGAGGTTAATTACCTTTGGAGAGGAGGGGTCAGATGATGTCAATATGAGAACATGGTCACACAAGACTGCACAGGTGTGTGTGTGTGTGTGTGTGGGTGTGGGTGTGGGTGTGGGTGTGGGTGTGTGTGTGTGTGTGTGTGTGTGTGGGGGGGGTGTTCGGGGGATGTGGGATGTGGGTGGGGGGGTTTGTCTCATGGCAACAGAGTTTAATATGGAGGCATTAAAAACATTACAGGAAGTCACAGGAGAGACAAAACATTTAATGTCTTACAGAAGAAGAAACACAAGGTCAAACCATGATGATGTAATGACGGACAGCTCTGACTTCTGGTTGTAATGTTGATGATGTAACGATGATGTAACGGTGATGTAACGCTGGCGAGGTTTGTAAGGACAGTTTGACGTCGTACAGTGGAAACAGGAGGTCAATAACCTGGACCACTCCTGAAGGTGGACTTGTCTTCTCCTGAGCTTCAGCAGGTGGACAGACACCTGACATGATCCTGGAAGAGACCTGGTTCAGGTCCAGAGGCAGCAGAGACCAGATCCTGATGCTGGTCCACCTGCTTCACCTTCAGCTGTGACCCTGAGCTTCATCTGTTGGAGTCTGGACATTACTTCACTGAATCACCTCACCTACAGACAGTCTGTGATGTACGAAGATCTGAACTCTGTGACCTTCATCATTTCTTCATCCTCAGTCTCTGAGATCTTTGTTGTGAGGCCTGATTCTCATCAGCTGATGATTTTTATAAATCCAAGTGTCTCTAAACCTCCAGTCTGGTTTCATTGACTGACTCCAGGTGTGATACCTTCTGACTCCTGAAGCTTCTGTTCATGTCATTAGTCGAGCTACAATCTGAATGTTTGATTTGTGTCATTAGTTACAACAGATTGTGTTTGTTCATTATTGTAACTTGGATGAAGATCTGATCAGAGCAGATCATCATGAAATCTCAGCAGCTCAGTGAAAAATCATCAGTGGTACAAAGATCAAAGGTCAACTGACCAACGTAAAAAAAAAAAGTTCAGGTCACCAGAAACTGATCAATTCTGTAAATGTGACAGAAAATAGGGACCAGCTGGACAAAACACCTTAAGTTCAGATTTTCCTTAACGTCTGAGAAAACACAGGTCTTCTCCTTTAGGTTTCCTTAAAATGTTCACGTAAGTATTTAAAGTTTTCTCCTTATCTTAATCTTAAACTTAAGGAATCACTTGAGGCAAGTTGAGGCATTTTCAGCAGTGAAAGAATGCTGCCATTAGCACCTGTGACACCTGTGATCACTTTTGGGAAGCAGGTAACATCAAAGAAGCAGGTCTCTTCCTCTTGATGTTTTGGCAGGAACTTCACCACAGTGAACTTTGGTCACTAAGGTCTTATGTGCAACAACTTAACTGACTTTAACTAAAGAAATCTTCGGAGAGATTTTGTGTGTCACCTTTGAGTAACTCCCTCAGCTAAGGAGAAATTAACCCTTAAGTGTGACACTTAAGTAGAAAACTTAAGTGATTGATGCAACCAGCCCCAAACTGGTGACCTCCATCCTTCCTGCAGCAGTGAAGTGAATGATGGTTGATGATGATCATCACCATGACAACACTGTACAGCAGGAAGCAGGACTGTATCCTGCTGTCAGAGTGGAGGGAGACAGACTTCAAACTGTAAATGTGTCTGGAAGACGGACGTCAAAGTGTCCTAACAAACCTCTGCAGAGTGAAGTGGACCAGCAGGATCAGCAGATCCAGCAGGACCCAGCAGGTCTGTGTTGATGAGTCACAGGAGGATTTAAAGGTTCAGTCTGTCTATAATAACATGCAGCTGCAGCAGGAGAACACAGACCTCTGGGACAGCTCAGAGCTTAGAGACCTGCAGACTCTGATGATGATGAGGACTCTGACACTATGTGAGACCAGAGGAGGACTTGGACTGTCTGCTCTGTTGTGGACTCACCTCGGGGTTCAGGTTGCTGACCAGTAGGACACAGTGTCCTGCAGAGATGGAGGGGAAACCCAGCCTGGTGGCCCCGGGGAGGGACAGAGAGGCCAGGGCTCCGGGCAGAGCGGGGACCGTCAGGCCTGGGTAGGGGGAGGAGACTGAGAGAGGTGAGACCAGTAAACACCACCACCAAGAACTGGAGGAGACCCCTGACTGAGACTACTGACACCAGGACCCTGACAGAGTCGGACTCCAGGACACTACAGACCTGCACAGACCGCTTCTGGTCCAGGTCTTTGTTTTTACAGGTGATTAGACACATAATACAGTGACACAATTTAACACCAATATTAATTAATAATGATGAACTGATGACATTTATATCCAAAAGGTCAAAGGTCAACTTCACTGTGACATCATCATTTAACTTCCTCTTGACCTCCTCTTTTTTATATTGTGGTGAATTTTTGCTTCATTAGTTACTATCACTTCCTGTTGACACTGTAACCATGGAAACAGCTTCCGCAGGATTACTGCCGATTCTCAGATATGAAGCTGATCAGTTTCTTGTTTCTATGACTTCATATCTGTTGACGGACTTCGGTGTAATTTCACTACAGATGAGACTCACCTGGCTGGATGGTGAAGGCTGGCGGGAAGGCGTGAGTGGCTCCGGCGTAAGGTGCAGCTGAGATGATACCTGGAGCTGCAGAACAGAGACAACACCTGAGTTACAGGTTTGAGAAACATCAAACGTGTTGTTGTTTATTCGAAGAAATCAGGGCAGAGAGCAGGATGAGGACGTAGTCTAAGGTTGTGGTACATTAGTGGTGTGGGGGTGTCCTGGGGGGGGGTGGGGGGGTCTTACTGAAGGCTGTAGCCATGGCCGGGTGCTCCATGGTGGGCTGGCTGTCTCCGGTGGGCAGGTCTGGTCTGGTGAAGTCTCTGCTCTTCTCGTTGTTGTATTTGACGTTGAGGCTGGTGAGTTTGGAGAAACTGATCCTCAGAGTGCAGCAGCCGTTATAGATGTTCTGTCCATCCAGAGACTGACACACACACACACACACACACACACACACACACACACACACACACACACACACACACACACACACACACACGTTAATGAGAGATCAGGTCATGTAAGTGTTACGGTTCTCTGGGTCAGGACTCACCAGTTTGGCAGCCTGGGCCGACGCTCCGTCAGGATACTGCAGCAGAGCCTGGAACTGACTGTTCTTAGTGAAGACAATGATCCTCAACACGGTGCCGAACTTAGAGAAGATCTGAGGACCAGAGCGGAGCTGAGGTCAGAGTGATCCTCTCTCATACATACAGGGGTTAGCTTAGCTTAGCACAAAGACTGAAAGCAGAGGGAAACTGTTCGCCTAGCTTAGCATAAAGACTGGAGGCAGAAGGACATCATTCCTGCTGGTCAAACAGGGAGCAGAGTAGAGCTGAGGTCAGCTGATCCTCTACACTCAATATGAAGCTACAGCTGTTAGCTTAGCCTAGCACAAAGGCAAACTAGTGGGAAGGATCTGGCACCTGCCTCCACACAGGGACCAGAGCAAGTTCAGTGTGTTGGACTCCTACACTCACAACTGCACCTGAATACATCCTGTGTCAACTGTGTTTGAAGTGATGTCACTAACCTGCTGCTGTGTATCATGTGTAAACCTCTGGTTGTGTTGCTGTTGACTGATCTTACCTGGCAGAGGGCGTCCAGGGTGACGGGGTACACCAGGTTCTCCACCACCACCCTCAGCACTGTGCTCGGAGCCGCCACAGCTGGGTCCACGTGAGACGTACTGAGGGCCCGAAGAGCTGCCTGGGCCCTCTGAGACGGGACGAAGGACAACATGTGAGACATGGTGGAGGACAGAAGCTAACATATGTTAACAGATGCTAACAGGATGGAGTCTTACCTCCTGGTTGGGGGAGTTGTCCGTTTTCAGCTCCTTGTGGTTGGAGAACTGGACGTAGACCGGGTGGTGTCTGATGATGGGCATCACCGTGGAGTAATAACCCACCATATTCTGAGCCGCTTCCTCCGAGTTCATCTCTAAGAAGGCCTGAGGACACAGGAGACAGGAGAGAGGGGAGAGGAGACAGGGGACAGTTCAGTATCACGTCCCACTACACCCCTGTAACCCCCCTGGCTTCAGAGTCCCAGTCCTAGACCTGGTTCTTGGCCTTGAGCATAAGCAGGTTGGACACGTCTCCGAAGGGCAGACCCAGGCTGATGACCTCGGCCTCAGTGATGTCGTTAGGGAGCTTGCGGATGTGGATGACCCTGGACGGCGCCCCGGGACCTCTTATGTCACCTTTGAACTTCTTGCTGTCGTTGCCATTGGCTACAGAGGAGAGGGGGAGGAGTTTAAATGATGTGTCAGTCATATGGTCCTGTCACTCAGCAGTTCATTGGTTGGTTCCTGACTCCTGCCTCAGGTTCTACCTGGTTCCTCAGATTCAGGTCGTCACAGACTTAACGCGGCAGACTGCGGCCCTCGTGAGACCTTGTTAGGTTAGTTCGTCAGATTACAGACATGTGTGAACTGTATCCAGGATTTTAGAAATAATGTTAATGAGTTGAAATCCCCCAAGTGATGTTAAATCTTTCATGTTTCATTTATTTAATTATCTGTTAGTTTGATTTAAATAAATCAACAACTTCTTAAACTGACTGACTAACCTCCAGCTAATCTTATAAACAGGAAATCACACACCTGTGGAGTTAAAGTGTGAAGTCGGTGTATTATCAAACATAAAGCTGTCAGTGGTTTTTCTACACACTGACAGGAACAGAGAAATATTGATTATTTATTGATTTTGCTGCTCACACGGTGTCAAATTTAAATACAGTCATTCTTGAATTAGCTTGTGATGATGTGTCAGTTTATAACGGTAGAATATGAATGTGTGGTGGAGACAGAGTCCACATCAGAAACTCAACATTAAAACAAACATTCACATAAAAATTGATTCAGAAAAACATCTTTGTGTCTGTTCTTCAGCTGATCAGTGTTTTCTCCACTCCATCACACAGCTGGTGTCTTGTCATGTGACTTTCTGTTGTCCAGTATGTCAGGTGTGGTGCCATCGTCATGGCGACAGTAAAGTAACAGCTGACATTAACACACAGTTAAAGCTGCAGTGCTCTGACCTGTGGTGCTCATGATATACGGGCCGTTGGAGACGCTGGAGAAAAGTTCGTCAGATCCTCTCTGAAACAGAAACACAGCGGCAGACTCACACACACACACACACACACACACACACACACACACACACACACACCTGGTGAAGGCTGATAACGTCTCTGCTCTGATTCACCATCACACCCTGATCCAGGCTGAGGCTTTAGACTCACGTCGCAGTGACTGACATGAAGTGAACTCACGAGGAGTGTTGTTGTTGTCTGTTGTCATTACAGTGAACAGTTTTGAGTTTTAAAATGTGAAGAATATGAACATGTGCAGTAAACACATCACAGAGAGAAAGAAACGCCATGAATTAGAAAAAGTCATTTCATTTACACAGGCCATGTACGCAGGGTTTTCAAGGTGCAGCACCTGAAACAAATGAACTGGAAAAGAACTACAGCGTTTGGTGTCGTGCTGCAGCCTCTCACACACAGACAGCACAGAGCTGGAGACCAGTGAGGAGGGAACTTTTTACTGGAGCTGACAACAACTACAGTCGTAGCTCTGAGTGTGAGTGTCATCACAACGTCTATGAGTAAAACAGCTCCCCCCCAGCAGTGTTACCTGCAGTGGAGGGAGGAGGACGGAGGAGATGACCTATAGTGACCTTCGTCCTGGTTCTTCATTCAGCTTCACTCAGCTAAACTGTAAATGAACACTTCAGTATTTGTTTATTTATCGCAGTCACATCGTCATGGCAGTATTGAACAGTGTCATCGTAGATTTTCGTCATGTCGTGAGGACCAGATGTGATCTGATGGAGACATGATGTGACGACATGTTTCACTGCTACTGTCAGACAATTAACCAATGAATGGACATTTAATCAGCTGGAGTGTTCAGCTGATTAAATCATGATGTTAATTAGAGCTGAACAATTAATCTAAATATCACTGGAATCACAATATGACCAAGTGAAATATGAAAATCAGAGGAGCTGCAGTTTCTTAATAAAATATGAGTAAAATGAGTCTCAACATAAATGACTCATTTTGGTGCCACAGAGACGGATCCTGTTCTCCAGATGTGAAACATGTTCGTCTGGTTCAGATCATTTTAGATTTTCATTCCCACTATAATCATGACTCATATCACTATATCTATTAATGTCATTAGATCAGACAGAGGCTGCAGATGATGCGTTTATGGACCCAGTAAATATCAGCATCAGTACACTGACTCAAGCGAAGAGAGCCCTGCCAGAACAAAGACCCATTTCATCTGTGTGTGTGTGTGTGTGTGTGTGTGTGTGTGTGTGTGTGTGTGTGTGTGTGTGTGTGTGTGTGTGTGTGTGTGTCAGAGTGACAGGAACATGTTCATGTTGTTACCATGGCAGCCACCAGGTGTCACTGTACTACAAAGGAGAACTGAATCTAAACCCTGGAACTATCTGACTGGTGTAACACCAGCTTCAGTCTGAAAACACCATTGTCAGCTCAACCCCCCTCCCCCCTCCCCTCTCCTCCCCCTCCTCCCCCCAGCAGGCGGCCGGGGGTGAATTCCTGTGGAGCTCAATGAAAACCAGATGTAGACAAACAGGCTGAGCCTCATTCAGACTGAAACTGATCCTGAACCAGTCCAGACCAGAACCACCTGAATACATCTACACCAGGTCCTGAAGAACAGAACCACCAGGAAGCTCCTCTGACTCTAACACACAGAGCTTCCTCTAGCTGCTTCACAGTAAAAGCCTCCTGTTCATCTTTCTTCACACAGACTTTTACAACAATAAAAGCTTGTGGTCTAAAACTAGACTGGTTCAGATAAAGACCTGGTCCTGTTAGCCTCTCAGACACCTGCTGAATTAATCCTCTGACATTAACCTGAATATCTGTCGTTTTCATTTACAGGTATTTACTGACTTGATGATCGATCGAGTGAGAAGTGATCAGATGATCAGCTGCAGCCATCCTGAATGAGAGTTATCAGTATTCTTATGGTGTATTTGAATGTCTCCACAGATGCTGTTCAGACCGACAGAGGAACCTGAGCAGAGTGTTTCTCTGTGTGAACAAAGCAGCTCAGATCTTCTTACTGATACTCATCAATAATAGACAGAAACCTGAGACCTGATCCGTGTCCCTCTATCTCCATCTGTACCTGTGTGACAGCTGCTGACCACCCACGCCCCCACACACACACACACACACACACACAAACACACAAACACACGATTACTGAGGCTCCTCTCTGCGGACACTTCACCTCATAAACTCAAACAGTAATGTTTGAGTATCGTAACATTTTAACAGTACTACTACTCTTGCTGATACTGCTAATCGATCCGGTACTTTAACGGTACTCTTACCGATACTTTTTAAGGAAGAAATAAAAACTTGAACAAACATAACATTTGTCATTGTGACAACAGGCTGTTTCTGCATTCACTCTAGTAAAGTAGAGCCAGAGAGATCTCTTGGCGAAAATACATCAAACATGGACGGATATTTGAGTTGGTGAAATAAATGTGCAAGATACATTTATCAAGCCGAGAAAAACAACCACGACTGCTTCAGTACCGATAGCTGAACCGTTAAGTTCAGAGCTTATTGACACTGCGGTCTTGAATAATGTAGCCCAGGGGCCCGTTCAATACCGGGGCTCGGTACCCCTCCCTAACAGTAACTGACCAATCACAGCTGCTCATCACTCTCCTGTCGCCAGGTGCTGTTGGTTTCCTTCTCTCCATTCACCCAGAGATCTGGGGGGGTCAGGTCTCTCTCTCTCTCCCTCTCTCTCTCTCTCTCACATTCGATTCTTCTTCTTTCCTCTTATTCACACAAGTGTCAACACAATCACTTCCTTTTTCCACATGAATGAGGAAGTTACGACTCATTCATCAGATTTAAAGACAAGTTCAACTGTTGTCAGAGCATCTGACAGGTTCTATGTTTTTACAACCAGACTGTTCCAGACCAGAACCAGCAGCCCAGCAGACCTCAGACCTGTTCTTCATCATCTAAACAAACTGCGGGAAAAAAACCCTGAAGTGTCCCTTCAACAGGAGCTGATCTGAGAACCACAGACCTAGACCTCAGCCTGGACCAGCTGGAACCAGCAGCCTTAAGTAATAATTCAGGACCCTGAGTCAAGCCCTGAAACCACCTGACACCTTCACCTGCCTCTGGCCAATCAGAACGCAGCACGCTGAAGGAGGATGGATGTGTGCGCAGCCTGACAGGTAGAAGTCAGGGTGGACCAGTGGAGTGTGAGGGTCTGGTTCAGATTCAGGACCTGCTGGACAGGTTCATGTTACAGTCTCCAGTCTGAATTATTTACACCTTTATGACTGATCACGTTTCAGTCAGCTGATCTAAATACTACAATACCCATCAACATTGGTCACCGTTGCCATGGAGAAGAAGGTGGTCGGAGGTGTGAGTTCATGAGTTGATACAAATATTAAAAAGGGAGCTGGCACAGTTGAGGGTGAAGCTCTGCGATTGGATGTTTGTTAGTGAAATGCACCCTGGGAGTCGTAGTTCTCTCCCTCAGTAGTGTTGACTGTCTACACAGAGCAGATGTTCATCATTTGCTCTGATGAGTGAAGTTTCATGTTTGTCACAGCTCTGAGGCCGAGGGTCAACGTGAGGTAATTTCAGGACCGGCACCTGAACAAGACTGTTTCAGACGTTCCTTTGCTGTCTCACCTGGGATGCAGCAGCAGGTGAGTCTCAGTGAGTCCACACACAGATACAGACTCTGCTGGACCACAAGGTCAAACAGGTTATTAATAAACTACAGAAATATAAAACATAAACATGTTTGTCCATTAGACTGAAGAACCGACTGAAGCTGTTGATGTTGAAGCAGCTGGAAAATAAAACTGAATCACTGCTTTCATTCCAACACTGCACATAGTCAAACTTTTCAGAATAAAAGCCAACCAGGGAAGGGATTCTTCCTCCCTCTGTTTCACGTTAAAAGCCTTGTTGAGTCATCAAGAACCAAACAGCAGCAACAAATCACTAAACTGTGTCCACGTCATTCATTCAGACCTCAAACAGTAACTCAATAATCAAATCAAAGTGAACAACCTCCACCTCACCTGAGGCTGCGTTCACATCAACACGTCTTCATTTTTAAACAGAATTGATCTCCACCAGACGAGAGTTTTACCTCCATATCTGAAATAATCTCCATCCACACTAACACACATCACATGACATCACCTACACTGAGCATGTGTGAGCCGGTGTAAACAGGAAGTAGATTGTCACCTCTACAGTAAATCCTCTGAAGGAGGAACAGCAGAGACAGTTGTAGCATTAAAACAGAGAATGTAAGTGAACAGCAGCTGCAAAGACAACAAGGTCAGTAACACTGTCATTCATTATCATGTTGTATTCACCACTGGTAGTCCAGGCTGATGAGAGCCAATCAGGAGAGACGGTGGGTGTGACCTCATCGTTTCTGTCCATCGACACTACAACACAACCCCAGAGTTTTCAAAATAAAACACAACCAAAGAGTTTCTCAAAGTCTCAGTTTGAGGGTCTGAAGACTCTGGAGTTGTGTGGATGGAGGAGGAAACGTAGAAGAGGAGATGAGTTTTAAAACTAAACTGTGTTAGTGTGATGGAGCCTGAGCGTCCTGGCTTCACAGTAAGAACCAGTGCTGCAGGTAAATGTTATTTTCATTATCACTTCATGAGCTGAATAATATTGATTCATTGCTTTTATCTATAAAATGTCTAAATTCTGAGAAACAACTGCTCTAAGTTCAAGGTGACGTTTGTTCTGCCGACAGTTCAGAACCAAAGTGATTGAGTTTAATATCAGATGAGACAGCGAGAAGTAACCGTTTTATTTAACTTTTACTTTTTGAGACTGAAATGATTATTTATTATTATTGGTTATAACATTTGCAGATTTAACAACTAATTGTTGCAGCTCCTGTTCTCAACATTGTTTTTTCTGTAAAACATGTTCATTATGTGTTTGGACTCTCTGAAGGAGAGCTGCAGCTAACTGCTAATTATTTTATTTTTAATCAATGAATCATTAACGTCAACAGCCTCCAGTTTCTGACCAATGGCCAACTGCCCAATTAAAAATGTCCAAAAGCCAGACTGTGACTGATGTAAACTGAGGGGTTTGGTCCTTTACCAGGAGTGTTGTTGTTGTTGATGACTAACTTGATAATCCTCAGACTTGTTGTCCAATATGAGTCTCTGCTGCAGTTTGAGCTTCAGACAAACTCCACACTAAAGACAGAGAGTCTCCGTCCTGCCACACACTCAGTGATGTTCACAGCAGAAAACAAACCAACGGAGCCGAGGAGGAGGAAGAAGCAGGAGGAGGAGGAGGAGCAGGAGGAGGAAGAAGCAGAGGTGCCTACCTTAGTACCAACTGTTATATCGTGGTGGACACTGCTGTGAAGAAAAGACAGCGTGTTAGAAGCAGCAGGGAGAAAAACTCAAACAGCAAAAAAAGTAAACTGAGGTTAAAGAGCTGGTGAGGAGGAGGAGGAGGAGGAGGAGGAGGCGGAGGAGGAGGAGGAGGAGGAGGAGGAGGAGCCAGCAGAGAGGAGGGAGAGAAGGAGGAGAGAGTCATGGTCCTGATCCTGAGGACATGGAGTCTAAACCCAGAGATGTTCACTTCTTTCCCTAAATAATAAAACAATAATCACTTTGTGACAGATCTATAATAATGAATTTAAAAGCGGAGACTTTTATTGTTTTATTGTTTTCTTGATTGATTGATTGATTGATTGGTCTACAAAAGCATCAGTAAAGTGTTTCTCTCATGACGTGGAGAGAACGTGAGAAACTGTTGACATGCAGCAACATCACTTCCTACTGTGCTCTGATTGGTTGGTTTGTAGAACAGGTAGGACACCTGTCTTCAGCAGGGACAGTCTGCTTTGGACAGACTTCAGTGACAGTGAGTCAAAAAGACAACAAGTTGAGACTCAGCAGATCCAGACACAGCTGATGAGACTCTACCTGGTTCTCTCTCCAAGAGACACTCCTCCTCTCACCTGAACTCTGACCTCCAACCTGACCTTTAAACTCTGACCTGTCCTTTGACCTCTGATGTGACCTGTGACCTGACCTCTGATCTGAACTCTGACCTCACACTGTATTTACACTCAGCTTCACTTCTTTAACATTCAGTCCAATTGAACTGAACAAACTGGACAGTCACAGTCTGAACACATCAATCATCCATATGAAGTAATGTCAGTTACAGGGTCATAATAACTGTATAATTAAAGTATAATAGCTGTATAGTTAGAGTATAATAAGTGTTTAATTCACTAAACAGTATCTGTGACTAATGTGTAGACCAACAACATATATAAAGTGGTCTCCACCAACACAACAGAGCTGAGGCTCCTCATGACACACAACCAGATACCTGGACCCGACCAGACCACTGATACAGCCATCAAACACAAACCTTTCAAAGTAAAGCACTTCCTGTGAGCTCTGTCCTCTGCAGGTGAGAGCAACAGGTCTGAATCAGTCAGTCAGAAAATAAACACAATAAATACTGATGTTACTTTTAAATGTAGTGACCACAAACTTAAATTCATCAGCAAGTTGAGCTGAAACAATTAGTCGATTCACAGAAAAATAATCAGTAACTACTTTGATCATTTACCAACAATTTCAGTCATTTTTCAAATTAAAATAATGAAATGTAAAGCTGATTATATATATATATATATATATATAATCAGCTTTACATTTCATTATTTTAATTTGAAAAATGACTGAAATTGTTGGTAAATGATCAAAGTAGTTACTGATTATTTTTCTGTGAATCGACTAATTGTTTCAGCTCAACTTGCTGATGAATTTAAGTTTGTGGTCACTACATTTAAAAGTAACATCAGTATTTATTGTGTTTATTTTCTGACTGACTGATTCAGACCTGTTGCTCTCACCTGCAGAGGACAGAGCTCACAGGAAGTGCTTTACTTTGAAAGGTTTGTGTTTGATGGCTGTATCAGTGGTCTGGTCGGGTCCAGGTATCTGGTTGTGTGTCATGAGGAGCCTCAGCTCTGTTGTGTTGGTGGAGACCACTTTATATATGTTGTTGGTCTACACATTAGTCACAGATACTGTTTAGTGAATTAAACACTTATTATACTCTAACTATACAGCTATTATACTTTAATTATACAGTTATTATGACCCTGTAACTGACATTACTTCATATGGAT